GAACAAGACAGATTCATTCCCAAAGAAGGCAGACAAAACAGTCTGTCCAAAAAAAAAAAAAAGTGAGTGCGGGGATGCAATGTCATTCTAGCAATTCAGTGAACTCAAGGGCTAAATAAGGATTAAAAATGCTATCAGGGCCTCCCCGGTGGCGCAGTGGGTTGAGCGTAGCTCTGTGAAGCTATCTGCAGCCTCTGCAGCACAGGTTCAATTCCTAGCCGGCCAGGGAGATACCCACATGGTGCGGCAGACCTCTCCTGTAGAGGCCTCCCCTCAGCAGTGTTTTCGGTCATCTGCTTGTTCTGCTCCCTGCTCTGTCTCTGGTGAATGCTTTCACCCTCCTGTACCTCTGGCCTGTACCCCAGTTCTTGTATAAATAAATAAATCTTTAAAAAAATGCTATTCAGATTCAGTGCAACAGAGGTAGCTGATGACCTTAGCTGGACTTGCATGACAAGTGGGAGAGGATTAGGGAGTAGGAGCAAAGAAAGAAAAAGGACACAGAAAGTTAAGTACTTAAGTACTTAAGGGAGAAGTACCTGGAGAAAGAAGTAGATTACAAAGGAAAGTTTTTGTTTATGTATTTTAAGGTGGAAAACTTGATATGTTTAAATATTAAAAGTGCCACTAAAGAAGGAACAGCTGAAGATACTGGAGTGAAGAATCATAAGGTTTGAATCATAAATTTTTTTTTTAATTTTTTTTAAAGATTTTATTTTATTTATACAAGAGCCAGGGTACAGGCCAGATGCTCAGGAGGGTGAGAGGATTCACCAGAGACAGAGTGGGGAACAGAACAGGCAGACTTACGAAATACACTGCTGAGGGGAGCAGCAGGCGAGACAGGAGAGGTCTCCTCACCATGTGGGTTGCTCCAAGGCCGGCGGGGATTGAACCAGCACTGCAGAGGCTGTGGACAGCTTCACAGCACTGCGCTCAACTGCCTGCGCCACCACGGAGGCCCCGAATCATAAATTTTTAAATGTTACATATCAATATCATGAATGTCCATGTTATGAAACAGTAAGTTTCATGCAAGGCCAAAGGAAGTGGAGCTCAAGGATTGGTGGTGGGAAGAAGTTTTTCAGAAGAAGGGAACCTCCTCCTGTATCAGGAAGGATGGGCATGCACCCCAGATTCAAGAAGAATTTTAGGTGCTATGTGAAGTTGAGGTAGTTATGCCCTCTCCTTGAAAAAGTGTCAAAGAATAATTTCCTCATTTCTCTATTTACCCTTATCACTGATACTTATTTTATGGTTGAAAAGGAAATACTTTAGAATAAGTAAGAATTTACGGAAAATCATATTAAATATTCATAAACAAATCAGTTTTTATATATTTGTTTACAAAAACAAATATACATATATATTACTTTTAAACAAAAGCTTCTTTTCTGCATTGTTTATCTTTCGAGACCACTCAACAGTATTTATTAATATATATGTATGTACATTTATTTGCTGCATGAATATTCAGATAGCCAAATGATGGAAATCTAAGCTCAGAAACCTAGTTTAAGTTTAAAAAAACAAGTTAAGAGTTTGTTTTTTTTTTTAATGTATTGATTTAAAAGCTTGAAAATTTTTTTGGTCCACAGTTATTTGGCAACTAGAAATTCCTATCACAAAATTGCTAGTAGAAGGAAAGTGACCTCCCAGATTCCTTTTAAAATAGCCATTTAGATTCATTTATGATAGGATAATTTTAGCAACAGTCCTTCCCTCCAAGTATCAATAATAATACTTTCTGTAACCTGATATGTTTTCTGGAAATAAATAAGGACATTTTCATTTATTATTTATATGAAAACAATTGTTATGTTTAATGTAGGCAACTCTTACTTCAATCAGTTTTATTTACTGCCCAGTAATGCACAATGGCTTAACAAACATTAAGAGATTGCAGAGATACAATAGCATTGTGCTTCTCCCTGTGGGGGAAGCAGTGTTGACCATTTGGCAGGTAAGCACAGGTTAAAAACTCTGAATCACTCAGCTGATAAATTTAGAATCTGTTTCTGAGTTCATGCCCTCTAAACCTACTACACTGGTGTTTCTTAAACTACTCCATATTTTCTCCTCATAAAGAGTGCTTTAGATCATGAGATAATTACACAAATTATCATAAAATAATTTTCAACCATCTTCCCTTGCAAATAGAAGCTACAATTCAAGATTTGTTTCCGGACTTCTACAAGTCTATGTAATTTTGGTTGAAACTAGAGATGATAAACAAGTGGGAAATCCAACTCTGCAAAGCAACTAATCAGAGGAACATGATTTTTAAATAATTCATATCAATATCATCAATGTTCATATTATAAAACAATGACTTTTTATACAAGGCCAAAGAACAGGACTTGAATGCAAAAGAATTCCATGAACTAAGGACATAGAAAAGAAAAATGACAGCTGTGGTATCTAACACTAGCTCCTTAAACACAATCATCAGTCAATATCCTGGTCAGGTATTTTTGTGATCACTGGTAGTTTAAATCTTTCTATTCATAATTTATATTCTGTGCATAGACAGAAATTTTGAAAATGCTCCTATATGACCCACAAGTTCAAGTGCCCCTTAAACATGTTAAGTTCCTCATGATTCCTTTCTCACTCAGAATCATCAAGATCTGCCATGGTCCAACAGGGATGAACTGTACACAACCCTCGCCATTCTCATCTTAAGTTGTCCACTCTGTCATCTCTTCCTGCCACACAGCCCTTTTCACATTCTTTCACCACACCAATCACACCCCTGACATTTTGTCATTCCTGCTGAAGGCACCTCTCTCCATTCGAGATTTCTAAATGTTTCCCTCTCATTTTATTCAGGTCTGTGCTCTCCCTAGGAGACAAACTTCCCTAGACACTGTCTGAAATAGTGTTCAGTTGTTCTTTAGTTACTCTGCCTATTTTCCTCTTAGTAATTAGCCCCATTAACATATATATTAAAATTTCCACCTCATATTTTCCTTCACTCAAATGAAAGCTCCAGGAGAGTAGGGACTTCTATTGTATGAATGAATGAATGAATGAATGAATGAACAATCATTTTTCATTTTATCCAGCTGAACAGGAGATATTTCTAGAGACAGTGGAAAAAACTTGAAAGTTCTTGGCTTGTACTGAATATCAGTACAATCTGAAGCAAAGAATTATCATTAACTGTACTCATTATAAAATTATAAATTGGTAAAGATGGCAAATGAAAAAGGTATGTTTTATGCATGGGCACAATGTTGTAAGCAAGATGAATCATCATCCATAATCTGTAAAACAGCATATAATTCAGGAGGCCTGTATCATGCTAAAAAACACAGATTTACCACTATTACTAATATTTCATGTGACACCAGGTGGCAATTTGGGCTTGGAGAAAAGGTAAATTTGTTTGAAGCTCTTTCTATGAGATGGTTATCACTTCCTGTTTGATTTTGCTTCTACATAGTGAAAAATTTATCAATTTAATGTCAGTATTTACATAATAATTGGATGTCCAGAAGACCCACCACTTTTGTCTTCAATTTTTTTTAATGTTTAGTTCAATGATATTTACAAAGTGAAAGTTGTGGGATGCTTGCTACCAGAAAATTGTTTAAGAAAGTACCACCCAAAAGTGGGTCTCTCTGTAAGAGTATCAGTGTAAACATACTTAGAAACCCAATTACTTGGGCATAGCATTCTAAATTCAGGGGTATTTTTTTGTAGGAATTTTACTTAATTTAGCTAAGAACAGAGACTTGAGCATATGCATTACATCTGTATATACATATATAGATTATATATATTATATATAATTACATAAAGACTATATATATAATTTTACATATATATATGTATAAATATATTTCCTTACAGCCCTAGGGTTGTGTTCTCTCAACATACACTCCAATAATAATCTGTATAGTTCCAAACACTAATGCTAGAAAGTGACTATACCCCTAGATATTCAGGCTGAATAATTAAGTGTCACTCCCTTTTGAGTGAGTCATTTTACTTGAAAAGTTGTGATCAGAAAGAACAAAAGCACCTCCGTGTTTGTTGAAAACTGCAAAATCCACTAGTAGTTGCTCTATAAGAGGTGTGGATGTGGAGGGACCACATCAACTGCAGGAGACCTGAAGATGTGACAGCACTAAAAGGGTAACAAAAAGGAAGAGAATCCCCAAGCTCTTCCAAATAACTGAGCAATCATAGAGATATTTATAGTCACTTATAGTCACTGTTGGAGACACCTGTGAGGAGAAGGAGAGGAACCCCAAGACACCACTCACAGAACTCAAACCTCGGGGCAATAGGGACAGCATGGTGCCAGCTCACTGAGGATTCTGGCCAACCCTGGCCTTCCAAAATGGCTGACAAAGGTTCATAGTAGACTCTTTGACTGTTGGGATCTTTTATTTACATATAAATTATTTTAATTAACCTTTATTTTACACTTAGTAGTCAACATCCAGCAGTTAAAATTAATGTGAGCAAGCACATAGACAGTGAGGAATGCCAAGACCTGTGAGAGGTAGACCCAAGTCCAAGGAATAGAGAGGAAAAGGAAGCCTGATATCCAAGAACCAAGTGTTCTCAGACTAAAATCATATAATTGATGACATATTATATATCTTAAGGGTTTGGTGCTAAAAAATGTTACCAAGAAATCTTCATTTCAAAAACAGTTTATATAATTTTACAACAATAAAACAATAAAAATCAATCAATATTTACAACAATATTTACAACAATAATAATCAATCAATATATGCATTTTAGGTAAGAAATTTTCTTTTATTACTGAAATTTCTTTAAATGATTTTTTTACCTTCAAATCCAAAAAAGGAGGATTTGGAATTCTCAACCTTTTCTATAAAGGTGATAGTCATGATTTGCAAAACTGAGAACAATACTAAGTAAGCACGTACAAGAAATAAACAAGTGGCAAGCAATCTGAGAAACCTAGATTTGAGAACATAAAGAATGAGCAGAAAATATAATAAAAATGTCCTGACCTGCTGAGTCTTCCAGTCCAATCTCTCCCACTCTTGATGTCCTTAATATTATCTGTTTCTTGCAATGCTAATGAAGGAAGAAGAGAAAAGCATTTAGTGAAAAATCAAAGAGACTCCAAACTATTTAGGTGAAAACATTTAAATATCATAAAGAAAGTTCAATAAGATTTCTACTGCAAACTTGTGGAAATATTAAGTCATTTTATTGCAATAATTTTTTTTTCTAGACCAAATTCATAGATATAAAGGAGCATCAGACTTAAAAGACTATATAAGTTAATCGTTGGCAAATGAACATTAAATGAACCATTGAAAAACAAATTTTTGTAAATAACAGTCAAGATAAAATGACAGTTGAAATGTAAAAAATGTCAACGAATTATTTTGGAGCTATATCAATTAAATTGCTTAAAATATTTATATTATTATATAAATTATATTATAGTATAGAAAACACACACATAAGTAAACAAGTTTATATGTAGTCCATGGCAACCTCAGCCTACTTTTACTAAAACAATTCTAACCATATCTTAGTCCACGGTGGTTAACTTAAAAATATACTTACAATGCAACATTACTTTTAGCTACAGTACTTTATGCAAAACATGCTAATGGATCTAAAATTTATTAAATACATATAACCACCTACCAAAGCAAAGCACTACTTCGAACTAAAACACTAAATTGCTAGAATAAAAGTTTCCAAATTCACTGAACAACAAAAACCCCCAGCAAATTAAAAGCAACTACACCCTATTTACACTGAGTCACTTGATCAGATTCAAACTCCAGTGTTATAAAGAGCATGGTTTTATCATAGGTTCTCTGACTGAAGATCTACATGTCTGTGGAAATTTATCTAACATCTTAAAAGCTTATTTTCTTGATCTATAAAATGCATTTATAGGCTTGTGCTGAATCCAAAATCCCCCAAGATTTTGATATGTACAACTATGCCATTGTGATATTATTGTTTACTTATGGATGTAAAGTAATTTTTACAAAGGAAAGTTTTCTGAACTGTTTAACCTTTGGCTCCCAATAGGATTAAGTTCTATTTCAAAATGTTTAAGAATTGATTTTGTGATCTTGCAACATGCTTGTTAAAATTGTATAAATATAAATTATATATTACATAAATTTTCTATCCTAGAGATACCTGTATTATCACCCAGATTATGTAGTGAGTGTTTTAAATAAGATTTTTTTAAAGATTTATTTATTTATTTATACAAGCACTGGGTACAGTCAGAAGTGCGGGAGGGTGAGAGAATTCACCAGAGCCAGAGCAGGGAGCAGAGAAGGCAGAAGGACCGAAGTACACTGTTGAGGGGAGCAGCGGGCAGCAGGAGAGGTCTGCGCGTCATGTGGGACCCTCGCCGGTGGCCAGGGATAGAACTGGCGCTGCAGAGGCTGTGGGTAGCCTCGTAGCCCAGCGCTCAACCACTGTGCCACCAGGGGAGGCCCTTAAATAAGATTTTAAAATGACACTTAATCCTAGTAACAGAATTCCACTTCTCGGTTGCTGGTCTAGTATCATGAATCAGAGATTTAGAGGGATCTAGGATCAGGGTATATGTATAACTTCAATTTTAAAGAACATCATAACTGTGGGTGATTTCTGAAGGACCTAAATTCTTTTAAAGTACACAAAGCAGTAAAAGGAATTGTACATCAAAAATGAATGGAATTTATCCCAGGAATGCCAAGGTTTTTTTTAACATGTAAATAGCAAATAATGTAGTAAATGAAACTAATAAAGATAAAACCACAAGGTTTTCTCTATATATGCTAAAAAACATTTTACAAAATCCAATACCATTTCATGATTTAGAAAAAAGGGGGAGGGACTCTATGGTGGCACAGGGGTTAAAGTCTTAGAGCTATCAAGCTATCTCGAGCCATTGTAACATGACTTCAATCCCTGGCCAGGGAGCTACCCACATAGCACGGCAGACCTCTCCTGTCTCGCCCACTGCTCCCTTCAGCAGTGTATTTCGGTACATCTGCCTGTTCTACTCCCCACTCTGTCTCTGGTGAATCCTCTCACTCCCATACCTCTGGTCTACACCCCAGTGCTTATATGCATAAATAAATAACAATAAATCTTAAAAACAAACAACAAAGCACTCAACAAACTAGCAGTAGAAGGGAACTTCCTGAACCTAATAAAGTGAATCTGGGGGAAAAAAAAAAAACAAAACAAAAAACTACCACTATCATACTTAATGGTGAAAAACTAACTTCTTTCCTCCGAAGATCAGGGGAGCAGCAGGCGAGACAGGGGAAGTCTGCCACACTATGTGGGTATCTCCCTGGCCAGACGGGAATCCAACCAGCACTGTGCAGGCTGCAGACAGCTTCACAGTGCTGTGTTCAACCCACTGTGCCACCGGGGAGGCCCAGGAATAAGGATTTCTATTCAACATTGTATTGGAGGTTATAGCCAGGTTTGTTAGGAAAGAAAAAGAAATAAAAACATATCCAAACTGGGAAAGGAACAGTAAAACTATTTCTATTTATAGATAACATTATTTTATTTAGGAAAGTCTAACAAATTCAGTAAAAACCACTGGAACTAATGAACAATGTGTAGGGTTTCAGAACGCTTGATCGATATACAAAAATCAAAAGACATCCTACATCACAGATCAGGAAACTTAACTTTCTTAAAAGGACATTACTCCCCAATGTTGATCTTCAAATACAATCCTAATCCCTATCAAAATCTCAGCTCGTTTTTTTTTTGTTCCTTTTTGTGTGGAAACTGACAAGCTGATTCTGAAACTTACATGGAAGAATAAAGGATCCAATATACATACTATAACAATCCTGTGAAAGAAGGGAAAAGTAAGGGAATTAAGTCTTTACAATTTCAAAACTTCAGATGAAACTACAATAATCAAGACAATGTGATACTGTCACAAGGATACATACAGAGAAGGATGGCACGTAATTGAGAGTAAAGAAATAGATCAGACATTTATGGTCAATTGATTTTTGACATACTTGTCAAGAGAAGTCAATGGGGGAAGAACAGTTGTGATATGACAAAAATAAAAATCTTCTCTTTGTCCCTTGTTCTTGGCAATGAGCTTCAAAAACCCTTGGAATTCCCTGAGTGATAAGTGAACCTTTCTATTCTAGGAGGTGACTCAGGACAGAGCATCAGGCTGGGGGAAGGTTGTCAGAAAAAATAATTTTAAGATTTGACTGTTGGAATGCTCAGGGCTTCTCCCTTCCAACCTCTGGTGAGAGAGGAGGGCTGGAGAAGGAAACCAATCATGTTGAAGAAGTGAAATCTTTTTTATTATTATTTTATATATTTTTTTACTTCATTTTTGTACAATGTATGCATTTTCATCTCGGTTATAATCCCCGTGAAATTCCCACCACTCATTCACCTGTGAACCATTACCATGGTCCCTTGTGCTCCTCCCACCCCTGTTTTGATCCTACTCCCATCTCCCCCCTGCAGAATGTCTCTGGTTTATAGTTACCTGTTGATTTTGATTTTTACTTTATTATAATTACTCCCCCATCCCTTATTTGTATCCTCTATATTCCTCCTATAAGTGAAACCATCTGATATTTTTCTTTTTCTTTCTGGCTGATTTAACTGTGCATGATCCCTTCCAGCTCATCCAAGTTGCTGCAAATGGCATGAGTTTATATTTTTTTGATTGCTGAATAATATTCCATTGTGTTTATATAACACATCTTCTTGATCCAGTCATCTATTTTTGAGCATTTGGATTGTTTCCATAGCTTACCTATGAAAATAGTGCTGCAATAAACATAGAGGTGCAGGTGTCCTTTTGGATTGTTGTTTTTGTGTCCTTTGGGTAGATACCTAGGAGTAGAATTGCTGGATCATATGGAGATTCCATTTTTGGCAGACTGAGGGATCTGAGTCTTTATGGAGTAAAATCTTGATAAAACAACCTGATCAGGGAGCTTTCTGATTGTCAAGCATAATGATGTAGCAGAAGGTAGTATATCCTGACTCCACAAAGTCAGACTGTCCAGCTTTCAAGACCCTTCCAGACTTTTTCCATCGGTACCTCTTCTTCATCTGGCTGTTCATTTGAATCTTTTATAATAAAGTAGTAATAATAAGTATTGTACTTCTGTGAGTTCTGTGAATCATTCCAGTGAATTATTGATTGTGAAAGGGTGTTGTGGGAACTCCCAAATTTGCATTTAATTTAGCTGGGCAGTAGTGCATGCAGCCTGTTGACCACATTTACTGCTGGTTTCTGAAATAAGGGTAGTACTACAGGGTACCCTGACCTTTAACTTGTGGGACCCCACACTAATGCTAGACAGTGTCAGATTAAATTAAATTCTAGGCTATGCAGGTGATGTTAGAGAATTAATACTGGAACACAATAGACTTTTCAAGAACTTGATATCCACATGCAAAAAGAATGGATTGGATCTCTACCTCAATACCAAGAAAACATTCACACAATTTGGATCATATATCTAAATATAAGCGCTAAAACCATAAAACGCTTAGAAGAAAGCTTACATATTCATAATCCTCAGTTTGGCAATGGTTTCTCAGATACAACACCAGTAGATATGTGACAAAGGGGAAAAATAAATGAACTGGACTACATCAAAATTCAAAGTACACCATCAATAAAGTGAAGACAACATGCAAAATATTTGCAAATTATATATATGATAAGGAACTTGTATCTAGAACATATAAACTCTAAGGACCCTATAAAAAGATTTCAAAAAACTCAATTTAAAAACCTGAACAGACATTTCACCAGAAAAGATACATAAATGACCAGCTAGCACATGCAAGAAGCTCAATGTCATTACCCATTAGGGAAAAGCAAAGTCAAAGCTAGAAAATTATACAATTTCACATCTATGAGGATGGCTAAACAAAAATAGATAATAACAAGTATGGTAAGGATATAGAGAATGTGAAAACTTCATACATTGCTGGTGGGAATGGGAAATGCTGCTTGTACTTCGGAAATTGGTATTCCTAAGTTCTAAAAGATTATGTACAGAGTTAGCATTCAACTTTGCAAGTCTACT